CTTCCAGTTCATCCCAATACCTGGCTCACAGGTTTGATTTTATTAATAAGACTCTCTAAGATTCATGCTACAGATCTCTGAGTTCAAGCCCTGCCTGATCTACAGAGCAAGTTCCAGGACAGGCTCCAAAGCTACTCAGAGAAATTCTGTCTCAAAAACAAAACAAACAAACAAAGAAAAACACCAAACACCCACCCCCACCTCCCACCCCCGCCAAAAAAAAGAGTAGGCACAAACCCTCATATTAAGGCTTGCCAAGGCAACCCAGGAGGAGGAAAAGGACCCCAAGCGCAGGCAAGAGTATTCGAGATACTCTAACTCCCACTGTTGGGAGTCGCACAAAAACTCCAAGCCAAACAACAATAACACACATGCAGAGGACCTCGTGCAGACCCATGCAAGCCTCATGGTTGCTGCTTTAGTCTCTGTGAGCTCCTATGAGCCCTGCTTAGCTCATTCTGAGGGCCATGTTCTGGTGGTATCCTCAACTCCTCTGGCTCCTACAATCCTTCCTCCCCCTCTTCCATGGGGTTCTCTGAGTTCTGCCTAATGTTTGGGTGTGGGTCGCTACATCTGCTCCCTCCAGCTGCTGGAGTAGTCTCTGATGATTACTGAGTGAGGCATCTCATTCTTAAGAGCACTGGCTGCTCTTCTAGAGAAGCAGCTTTGATTCCCAGCACCCACACTGCAGTGCACAACTGTCTGTAACTTCATTCCAAACACAGATGTATAAGCAGGCAAAAACACTCATATACATTAAAAATGAAATAAAAGGAAAAGGAAAAAAAATGTAGAGTGCTTGCCTAGCACACTCAAAGACCTGGGTTTGATCGTCAGCATCGCCTCAAAACAAACAGACAAAAACAATAACAAAAAAAAAAAAAAAAAAAAAAGGCATTTTTTCATTTGGATATGGTAACCCATGCTTATATACCAGCAGCTGGGAGGTAGAGGCAGGAGAATCAAGAGTTCAAGATCATTTGTCACTACATACCAAATTTAAGACCAATCTGGGCTGTCTTAAAAAAAAAAAATAAAATAAAGTTTAAAAGGGCGTGGAGGTGGTGGTGGTGGATTCTCTCCACAAGTTCATATGAACAACCTTAGAAATCAGTGGGTTAGAGGCTGAAGAGATGGCTCGATATTTCGAGTAGCTGCTGCTCTTGTAGAGGACCCAGAGTTGGTTCCTAGCACCCACGTGGCTGCTCACAACTGTGCTCTACAATGTGGATGCTGGGAGTCAAAGCTGGTCCTCTTTTTTTTTTTTTTTTTTTTGGTTTTTCGAGACAGGGTTTCTCTGTGTAGCTTTGCGCCTTTCCTGGAACTCACTTGGTAGTCCAGACTGGCCTCGAACTCACAGAGATCCGCCTGGCTCTGCTTCCCGAGTGCTGGGATTAAAGGCGTCCTCTTAAGTCATTTCTCCAGCCCCTGAGGTACACTCTTGACCCTTTTGTTTTCAACATCCCTACAGTTTTCCAATAACTTGTTCCTGATGTTGTCCTATTAACAAGTCCTTTCCTTTGGTCTGGGCACAGGTGTCTGTATGGAGAGAGCCTTTGTAGTTAGTTCCAGGGGATCCAATACCTTCTTCTAGGCTCTGCAGGCACTAGATACACACATGCAGGCAAAATATCCAGACACAGAAAATTAAAATAAATGAATAAATCTTTAAAAGAAAGAGTAATGAAAGGTGAATATATCACAATACATTGTGTAGATGTATGAAATTGTCAAAAAAATCATAAAGTTAAAGAAAGTGAAACAGAAACCAGTTCCTACATAAAAAAGTAAAATGTGGGGGCTGGAGAGATGGCTCAGAGGTTAAGAGCACTGACTGCTCTTCCAGAGGTCCTGAGTTCAATTCCCAGCAACCACATGGTGGCTCACAACCATCTGTAATGAGATCTGGTGCCCTCTTCTGGCCTGCAGTCATACATGCTGTATACACAATAAATAAATAAATCTTTAAAAAAAAAAAAAAAAAAAAAAGTAAAATGTGGAAATGTAACCCCACCCCTGAAAACCACTTGAAATTTTTGATCTTTTGCCTGTACATACAAATGATGGCCACAGAGCAATTGTGGGAAATAACTGTAATCCCAGCAATTGGGAAGTGGGGGCCTCAATTATACAAGAGTTCAAGGCTATCCTGGACTACATGAGATCCTGTCTCAAAAAATAAAAAATTCTTACAAATATGACCTATTTTAAAACCTAATAACAATCACTACCTCTTTGCTCTCAAACTGTTACTCTGAATTTGGGAAATGCTAGTTTCTTTGAGCAGAAATACCCTGCACTTCACAGGACTTCTAGACTCGGGGTCTGGTGGCAGTTACACATCAGGGTCCTGAATGTTCCCTAATATAAAAACTGTTGTCTGAAGCAGGGGGATCGAAAGTTTCAGACCAGCTAAGACCCCGCCTTAAAAAGGAAAATAAGGGGCTGGAGAGATGGCTCAGTGGTTAAGAGCACTGACGGCTGCTCTTCCAGAGGACCTGAGTTTAGTTCCCAGCACCCACACGGCAGCTTAAAACTGTCTGTAACGCCAGTTCCAGGGGACCTAAAACCCATGGCAAAACACTAATGCACATAAAATAAAAAAAAATAAATAAAAAAAAAAAAAAGGAAAATAAGCTAGATATAGAGAGGGACACACAACTTTAAGTCCAGGAATTTACAGAGGCAGGTAGATCTCTGTGAGTTTTCAAGGCCAGCCTGTACTACACAGTGAGTTCCAAAAACAGTCAATGTTACACACTGAGACCTTGTCTCAAAAAAAAAAAAAAAAGAAAGAAAGAAAACGGTAAATAAATAAAACCAAGTTTAGTAGTACACTGTTTTTAAGGCAAGAGGATAAGAGGCTGAAGGTTATCCTCCCATATGTAGAGTTTAAGGCCAGACTCTCTCTCTCTCCCCGAATATGTGTGTGTGTGTGTGTGTATGTATATATGTGTATTTATGTATGTATGTATGTTTATGTATGTATATATGCATGTATGTGTGTATATATATGTAGACACATACACAAAAGGAGGGCTGAGGATACAGCTCAGTTGATAAATTACTTACCTCTCCTTCACACACACAAAAAGATCACAAGGCTGAGGCTGAGGCAGGAGAATTTGAAACTTCAAAGTCACTTCAAAGTCACTCTGGGCAATTCAGTGAGACTATCTCAAAAAAATAACAACAAAAAAGGATGGGAATATAGCTCCATGGGAGAGGACTGCCTGGCACATGCACGGCCCTGTGTTCAACTCCTAGCACAAAATAAGTAAGTCTGTGAGGCAGGTATGTAGACCAAGCTTGGGAGGCTGGCACAGACAGACTGACTATGAGGCCAGCCTGGGGTACTGAGGCTGACCCTGTAAGGGAGAATTAGTCTTTCCCCAGGGATGAACTCCCTAAATGGTCATCCAATCCCAAATGGTTAGCCTTAAAAACAAGTACAGCAAGCAACACTAAATGGACTCAGCAGGTTGTATGAATTTGGGGAGAGGGGCGACATGGAAGTGATTGAAGGGAGGAGATCATGTTAAAACACACACACACATACATACATACATACATACATGTATATGTATATTGGGTTTTCGAGACAGGGTCTCTCTGTGTAGCTGTCCTGGAACTCACTTTATAAACCAGGCTGGCCTTGAACTTACAGAGATCCGTCTGCCTCTGCCTCCTAAGTGCTGGAATTAAAGGCATGTGCTGCCACCACCCAGGATATAATGTCATATATATAATTTTATTTATTTATCTTGCTTTTTTTTTTTTTTTTTTTTTTTTGGAGACAGGGTCTCTCTGTGTAGCCATGGCTGTCCTGGAACTCACCAGGCTGGCCTCGAACTCAGAGATCCATCTGCCTCTGCCTCCCGAGTGCTGGGATTAAAGGCGTGGGCTGCTACCGCCACCGCTACCGCCACCGCTGCCGCCACCACCACCGCCGCCGCTCGCCTTTATATAATTATATTTTAATTAAAATAAAGGTTCACTGGGGCGAAGATTTTTCAGGCCCTGGATAAATCAGCACCACACAAACACAAAAAGGTTCATAACTTCTAAAGAAATCTACCTAACATCTAGCGTCCTGTAAACAATGACCCTCACCAAGTGACCCTAGAGAAAAGAAATACATGAAGAAACAGTGCAACTGAGGTTCACTAAAAAAATCTTCACTTCCAGTCACTGTGTTCCAGGCACTTGATAGAAATGATCTCATTCACACACACACACACACACACACACACACAACTTGGGGAGGTTTGTCAGGTACCCACATGAAAGAGGCGGAAAACAAGGCCCGAAAGTTTAACTCACTCGGGGTTAGCACAGCCAACTCCAGATTCAAACCTCAGCTGTTATACTGTCCTAACCACCACGATGAATAAATAAGTCAGGGTAGCTGTTAGGACTAGAAAACTGGTAAACATTCAAGGAGCAAGCTGCAAGACCGACTGATCGCGTTTAATATATAGATATATATACAGGGCACCAGAGCAACCCACGAGCAAGGGACTACTGACTCACATTTAAAGAGTCGGGCCGCCAAGCTGAATTGACAGGCACCAACCACCCTCAAAGTTCAAAGGAATCTTGTCACCCCACCCCTGAGCCACAGGTCCTCCTCCAACGCCAGAATCCGGGCGACTCTGGAGCCCCCGGGTCCCGCGGCGCCCCGTGCCCCCTGCCCGCGCGGCCACCGCTGCCCACGGACGCAGAGCTCCTCGCGGCCTCCCGCCCCCGGGCTTGCGGCCTAGGCCGGGGCCGCCCACTCCGGCCCACCGCGCCGCCTCCCGGCCCGAGGCCCCGCACTAACCGTTGTATGACTTCCCTCTGTCCGCCATGGCACAGGCAGATACGGGGGCGGGCTCGGGCGCAGAACCTGACGCCACAAAACGCCCGGAAGCCTCGGCGCTCAGGACAGAAGCTCTCCTACGACCGGCGCCACCGCATTTATCCGGCGAAGCACGTCGCGCGCCGCCGACGTCCCCAGGATGTGGGCGGTGCCGCGGGGCGGTAACGCGCTCTCTGCCTCTGCGCAGAAGCAGGGCTGCCTCGCGGGGGCGGGGCCAGGCCCTCCGAAGCCCGCCCACGGCCGGAGCTCCGGGCGCGATGACTTGCTGGCCCGCCCCACCTTCGAGCTTCTCCACTGTCCCGGCTGCTACTGGTTTTGCGCTGGAGCTGAGCGGGCGGCTGCAGCCCTGAACTCAGAGGAGCAGGGACGAGGGCCACACAGAAGAGTGGAGACCTGGCCTCCAAGTGGGAGTAACGGCTCACAATCGTCGCCAGTGAGATCCCGGCAGCTTGTAAGTCGCAGCTCAGTTCCTTGCCAGCCGCAGGCCTATGCCCTCCCAGCTTTCCTCGCCTCTACGGTGGATTATGACGAAATAGAAAATTGGAATGTAAGCTCCATCGAAGCAGGAACCTTAACTAAGGCACAGCTTTTCTTCCTCCACACGCCTGGCTCAGTATCACGCCAAGTGTGAAACCCGTGTGAATTAAACGAAATCCTGTTCCCTGTAGTCCTCCACAAATTGCCGGATCAAAAAAAGAGCATCAGGCCGCGAATGATGGCACAGGCCTTTAATCCCAGCATTTGGGTGGCAGAGGCAGGTGGATCTCTCAGTTTGAGGATAGCCTGGTCTACATAGAACTTTCCAGGACAGCCAGAGCTATGTAGAGAGATCCTGCTTCAAAACAAAACAAAAACCAAAAAACAAGAAACCAAACAAACTGGGCAAACAGACTGGGAGTTTTGGACAACAGCATTGTCCACATAGAGAATACAGGGACATCCAAAGCTACACAGCGAGACCCTGTCTCAAAACAAAAACAAAAGCACCTGTCAGGGACATAGTGAGCATTGGTCTTTACACTCAATGACCTAACCATCATCCCTATTAGATAGACCCATGTCAGCTAGGTAGGCAGGAAAGTCACTAGCAATGATTGAATTCCCATTTTCTCTCTCTCCAACACCCCCCCCCCCAAAACTGGGTTTGTCTGTGTAGCCTTGGCTGTCCTACAACTTGATCTGTAGGCCAAGTTGGCCTCAAGCTCAGGAGATCCACTTGTCTGATTCCAGAGTACTGGGATTAAAGGAGTGAGCCACCACTGCCCCTGTGATTGAAACTTTTAAATGGCAAACCCAAGAGCTCTTATAGGAAGTGACCTTCAGTGTATGGCTAGGGCTATTATGGCCTGAGTTTCCTGGGATCCAGATGCTGCTGGGGGGAGGGGGTAAGCAAATGGGACACCCTTAAGGCATGGAACAATGACTTCAATTCTAATCACTTAGGACAAAACAGCTCATTAACATCCCTTCGAGGGTGGGTTAAGTGGGTCACCTCCATTTTCCAGTGGCTGGTTTGGATTTTTTTTATATTGATTCATTATTTTTTTATTTTATATTCACTGATGTTTTGCCAGCATTTGTGTCTGTGTGAGGGTGTCAAATCAAGCTCTGGAACTGAAGTTAGACAGGTGTGAGCCACCTTCTGAGTGCCAGGAATTGAACCCAGGTCCTTTGGAAGAGCAACCAGTGCTCTTAACCACTGAGCTGTCTCTCCAGCCCTGGTTTGGATTTTCTAAGGGTCTTAGAAGGTGCCAAAAGCTGGGTACAAATTCTCTTCTGCTCCCAGCAACAGAGGTCTTGCTTCACTCAGTTCAAGTTCAAGGCTAAGTGATAGAATACAGATGAAAACAAGCCCCAACACTGCTGGAGACAGTCCTGGAAGTTACCACCCAATGATGAATTCATTTGGCTCCAGGTCAAAGGAAATTCTGCTAATGAAGTGCTTTCTAGGAGGGAGTTATGGATACAAAGCCCCAAAGCCACCCTGCTTATCAGTGGGCCCTTCAGAGCCGCCAACTCAACCCTTTTAGTTCTGTATTGGGCACGATCCCACGCAGAAACGACACATCACTAATGAGGCTGACAGTCTTGCTGTAATTGGGAGGAAACAGGCTGCAGCACATTTGGCAGATTGAGAGTCACCAGTAGCCAAAGTCAGGTTTGTGCAGGCAACTGAAGGGCTCAGAGCCCCCTCACCTCACATGGTGAAGAGAGGAAGGCAGTCAAGTTCTAACCCGATGGTAAAGTTGGTCCCTGGGATAGTTTTGTCTCCTTGCCTCATTCTCAAGGAGGCAAGGAGGGGCATTATCTCCCCTTGCTGCCAAAGGTACCTTTGGGGGAGGCTGGTCAGGTTTTATAAAAATCTCCTGGTGGAGACAACCTCCTCTACTGGCCCCAAGCTGGCTTCTGCTCCCAGCCACTTCACAGCAGAGTCCAAATACAGAACCAGTGTGTTTCAAGGGCCAGAGTGGCCAGAGACAAGGGTGGGGAATCAGGGACACTGGCCATTCTTAGCAGTTCCAAGGAAATGGCCTTTCTCCCAACCACCCTACACAGGCTCAATGGCAGCAGTGGCCACCTGCCTTCCCAGGAGGGTCCCAAACCCTCCATGGAGTGCCTCAGAGTGAAGGAGGGTTCAGGCAAGGAAGACCACAAAGATGATGAAGAAGACGATGAGGATGAGGAAGATTTTGACCATGAGCCACCGATTGGAGGTGACTGACTGGAAGTACTTGAGGATCTCTGAATGGGCGGCCTCAACATCCAGCTGGGCTCCAAGCACGTTCTCATCGATCCTGGAAACAGCCAGGAGAGAAAAAAGGACATTGGATTAAAAAGAATGCTGATGACATCCATTTATTGATATGAAAAGTTGATCACAATGTGTGGAAGTAAAAAAAAATGTTTCATATTATGTGATCTCTTTTGTGTGCATGTATGAGTATATACAAGTTTACAAGTTTTTTAGGGTAGTAGACTATGCTTGGCTCTAGTTTGAAAACTTTCTGCCAGTTATTAGCTTATGACTGAGTAATTTAACCAAAATCTTATTTTCCACATCTGAAAAATGAGATTGACATAAACCCTACCTCCTTTTATGAGGTTTCAATTTTCAGTGAGTTAAATATGAGCCCCCCAATCCATATGAACACCCAAATACTGTAATTTTGAATTACTAGCATTTACTGATTTTCTTTAGGTAATGAACATTACATTGTTTTGTTTTGGCTTTTTGTTGTTGTTGGTTTTTGGGGTTTTTGAGACAGGGTTTCTCTGTGTAGCCCTGCCTGTCCTGGAACTCACCCTGTAGACCAGGACTGCCTCTGTGTCCCAAGTGTGAAATTAAATATGTGTGCCACCACCACCGGCACACATTGTTATAATGGGGGTAAAGTTCAGACCACCACAGTAAGAAAATTCTGGTTGAGGGATGGGGACAACTTAATCTAGACAGGAACTCAAAGAACAATACAAACCTCACATCCAGAGAGCATTATCTCTGATGGACAAGTCCTCAGAGGAAGGATGATTTTGACAACTTACTGAGGCAAACAAAACCTTTTGCAGCCAATCTACATGTACAATCCTAAAACCCAAATATATGGCTGGGTAGATAGCTCAATAGGAAAAGTGACTGCTTGGCAACCAAGAGGATCTGAATTTGGATCCCAGTACCGACATAACAAGCTGGCCATGGTCTTACCTGTGTCTATAAACACAGCACAGTGGGTAGGTAGATAAAATAGGAAAAAGCTGGTTTTTGCTGGCTGCCTGAAAATACTCAAGTTTTCAGGCTAAGGGAGAGACCCTACCTCAAAAGAAGAGAGTAATTAATAGAGGACATTTTATGCCCTCCTCTGGCCTACATCATACAAAATATACACACACACACACAGAGAGAGAGAGAGAGAGAGAGAATTTAAAACCCAAATACTATCCTATGTCACAAGATGTTTCAGACACCGTGCCTACCTATAAGGCATGGCAATCCACTAGGATTGTACTGCCTAGTGACATAAAAGCTATTTTAGCTCGTGTAACTACATTCTGTGATTTGTAAAATCATCTAATGACAAAATTTTCAAAACATAATCCTATCAGTAAGCAATATATGATGAAACACAGCCTAATTTTTGCAGAGGGAAATCCTTGGCCTAGAGTCCTCTAGGAGCTGAGTATGGCCCAGGTAGGTCCTAGCAATCTGGCTAGATATGGAAAGAATGGTAAGCTTAAGGTCCTGAAAAGACAAGTGACAGGATTAAGTTCATCTCAGCATCCTAAATTCAGAAGCCTGACCTGTGGTTCTTTCTTATGTTCAAGAGGCTGAAATATCAGGTTCATATCTTTTGACTATAATTATTTTGTTTTTTGAGACAGGTTCTGTGCAGCCCTGGGTCCTAGAAGTTATTACATAGACCAGGCTGGTCTCAAACTCAAGAGACCCACCTCTGAGTACTTGGGATTAAAGACATATGCCACCATGCTCAGCCTTTAATTACATCTTTTTAATGTGAGTACATCTGTTATCGCACAATGAATGAAGCTCATAATGGCAGTTATGAATGGCTTAGCTTAACAAAAATGGACAAACCTTATTAATACAATCTGTACATAAAAGATTACAGAGGAGCTGGGAAAATGGCTCAGCAATTCTGAGGACCTGACTTTGATCCCTGGGGTCCACCTGGTAGGAGAGAAACAACTCCACAGTTGCTGTGCTACGTATGCACCTAAACACACCTGCACACAAATAATTCTGGTGGTTTTTTTTGTTGTTTTTTTTTTTGTTTTTTGAGGCAAGGTCTCACTGTGTAGCCCTGGCTGCCCTAGAACTCACTATATAAACACACAAAGATCTACCTGTCTCCAGAATGCTGGGATTAAAGGCCACTTAAGTGCCACCATACCTGGTAAGATATGTCACAAATAAGATCAGGCAAGGGTGGTAGTACATGGCTTTTAATCTCAGTATTTGGGAGGCAGTCACTCAGAGTTCCACGGTAGTCAGGGCTACATAATGAGACTATGTCTCAAAAAAAAAAAAGAAAAAGCAATGGGAAGCACAGAGCAGACTGAAAAAAAACACCTCACAATCAAGTACATATGACCTGTGTCCAGATGGAGCTTTAAACTATTTTTACATTTATTTTGTGTGTCTGTGTGTATATATGTAGGTGTGCATGTGTCACGGCCCTCGTGGAGGTCAAAGGCCAACATGATGTGAGAACCAGTTCTCTCCTTTCACTATGTGGGTTCCAGGGATCAAACTTAGGCCATCAGACTTTATAGCAAGCACCCTTACCTGCTGAGCCATCGCATAGGCCCCTGCCTGGAGTTTTTAATTCAAGAGGAAAAGAAGCTCTGAGTATGTAACTCGGTGATAAAACACTGACCAGCATGTATAATGTCCTGGGATTGATCCCACAACACAAAGGAGGTGGGGGGACTATAGCTGACATCTGTCCTCCCTGATAGAAAGGCGGTCTGACATTAAACGCTTCCTAATGCTATACAAGTTACACAGCATCTCCTTTCATGCATTCTATACAAAATAATATAAGCAGGGGCCACTGGAACCTGTATTTGATTTTCTTAACCACTGAGCCATCTCTCCAGCTACCATTTATTTTTTAATTTTTTTTTCCCCAGAGCTGAGGACCAAACCCAGGACCTTGCACTTGCTAGGCAAGCGCTCTACCACTGAGCTAAATCCCCAACCCCTTTTAATTCTTTTTGAGACTGAGTCTTATGAAGTTGTCCAAGCAGGCTGGCCTCAAACTCACAATCCTTCCTAACCTCAGCCCCCCAGAATACCAGGATCATAAGTACAAGCAATGAAATATGACTTTCTTGCTGCATTCTGAAACAAAACTCCTGGGAAAGTTTGTCTATTCTTTTGCTTTCCTTTTTTCTTTTGTGGTACCAAGAACTGAATCCACAGGCCCAGTAAATCCTAGGCAAGTAAGCACTCTACTATTGTGGACATCCTTTGTTTTTTGGAACTGGGTCTTAAAATATAGCCCAGATTGGCCTTGAACTTCCTATGTAGCTGATGACCTTTAACTCTGGTTCTCCTGCCTCCACCTCCCATGTGCACCATACCAGCCTTCTCAGATTTGTATTTAACATTTTATTTTTAATTATGTGTATGTATTTGTCTGTGGAGGTATTTGGATCACCTAGAGCTAGAGTTACAAGTGGTTGTAAGTCACCTGATAGAGATGCTAGAACTGAACCTGGGTTATCTGGAAGAACAGTGAGTGCTCTTACACCACTGTGCAATCTCTTCAGCCTTAGATCTGTTGTGTATATGTATGTTTATGGGTATATGTGTTCACCCAGGTGCCTATGCACACAGATGCCAGAACAGTCAGGCAGCCTGTTCCATCATGCTCTGATTTTCTTGACACAATGTCTCTCACTCAATCTGAACCTTGGTGTTTTACCTAGGCTGACTAACCAGTGAGCTCCTGTCATCTGTCTCAGCTCCCCGCCTTGCCCATGCTGGGGTTTCAAGTACTTGAGGCCATTACCTAGCTTTCGAATGGGTGCTGGAAATTTTTTTTTTTCCAGACAGGGTTTCTTTGTGTAGCCTTGGCTGTTCTGGAGATCAGGAGGGTGGCACTTGTCTATGATTCTAACATTTAGGAGATGGAGGCAGGAGACCAGGATTTCAAGGCCAGTCTCAGTTACACAGGTACTTAAAGCTGGCCTAAGACATGAGAGCCTGTCTCAAATAAACAAACATAAAAATTCACTATTTGCAATTTCAAATTTCTTGGCTTAACAACAGAATGAAAATAACACTGAAAACATATTTCTACTTTTTTTTTTTTGGAGACAAGATTTTACCGGCCTGAAATGTGCTACATAAACCAGGCTGGCCTCAAACTCAGACATCTAGGGACTAGAGAGATAGTTCAACAATTAAGAACACTTGCTACTATTGCAGAGGACCAGGGTTCAATTACCAGTACCCACATGGTGTTTGACAATCATCTGTAACTGCACTTCCCAGGAGTCTTTTACCCTCTTTTGACTTCTGTGGTTACCAGAAACACACACCGCAAATACACAAATGCAGGCAAAATACTCATATACATAAAATGAAAAAAAAAAAAAAATCTAAAAACACCAAACCAGAACAACAACAACAAAACTCAAGAGAGCTGCCTGCCTCTACTTCCAGAGTACTGGGATTAAAGGCCACAACACCCAGTTCTCATATAATTATTAAATTTTTTAAAAATTAGATTCATTTTTTTAACTTGTTTAATGTGTGCTTTGCATGTTTGAACATCCCTCGTATGCCTGATGCCTGTGGAAGCCAGACAAGGGCATTGGATCCCCCTAGAAGTAGAGTTAAAGATAGCTGTGAAACACAATGTGGGGTACTAGGAATTGAACCCAGGTCCTCTGGAAAAGGAACAAGAGCTCTTAACTGCTGAGTCATCTCTTTTCATTTTTGAAATAGAGCTTGACTACACTTGTAAAGCTGGCCTTGAACTTCTGGACTCAATGCTCAAGAATAAAGGTCAAAGTCAGGCAGTGGTAGCACTCCCAAGCACTCAGGAGGCAGAGGCAGGCGGATCTCTGTGAGTTCAAGGCCAGCCTGGACTACAGTGAGTTCCAGGACAGCCAGGACTGTTTTCATAGAGAAACTCTGTCTCGAAAAAAATCAAATAAATAAATAGATAGATAGATGAATAAACAAAGAAACGAATGAATCAATAAAGGTGGCACAGTGTGCTCCCTTCTCAGCTGTGTTTTGTTTTGGGTTTTATTATTTATTTATTTAATTTATTACTATGGGGGAGGGAGGACACAAATGTAGCAGTCACAAGACAACTCTGTGGCATTCGTCTCTCCTTTCACCCCTACCTGATTGCAGTGATCAAGCTCATGGCACTAGGCTT